TGATCGTGCCCTATGCGGTCCTTTCCTACTGGGTCAAGTACATCGACCAAGCAAATCTTAGTATGTTCCACGAATGATTCCTGCGTTGACCATAAGGCTAACCATCCAGACAATGCATACGTCGGGGGTCTCAAGGAAGACTTGGGCTTCTACGGAAACGAGCTTGTGCAGTTGCAGACCATCTATATTGTTGGGGCTACAGTGGGACAGCTTCCGTTCATGTTCCTGTTCACCTATGTTCCGATGTACTATCTTATCCCGCTACTCGATGTCGGTTGGGGCGTCTTCACGCTTCTGCAATTCCGCGTGACGTCTTATGCCGAGTTGGCTGCATATCGTTTTCTTGTTGGATGGTTTGAGGTGAGCTTCTTCGTACCCTGGCAGCCCTGGGATCCTCACATGGCAATGTCTAACGAGAACAGGCTGCTTTCTTCCCAGCTATGCATTATGTATTCGGTTCATGGTACAGGGGTGACGAGATTGCTCGCCGGGGCGGGATCTTCTACGTTGGCCTCTCCTTGGGCACACTGACTGCAGGACTCATCCAAGCCGGCGCGTCATCGCGACTCGAGGGGGTACATGGACTGGCCGGATGGCGATGGATGTACATCATATGCGCGATAATCACAATCCCTATTGGGATCCTGGGGTATCTCGTTATTCCCGGAAGTCCCGAACAGCCCAACCGAAAAGTCCTACGTCAGCGGGATATTGAAATGGCGGTACAGCGATTGAAGAAGGCCGGCCATGTCTCCCGAGGCAGATTCCAATGGGCTACCATGAAGAAAGTCCTCCTAACGTGGCATTTCTGGGGTATCATAGCAATGGATGTTCTATTCTGGAACGCAGGCATCCAAAGCAGCGCGGGCACCTTTCTCCTGTGGATCAAAAGTCTAGGCCGGTATTCCACCTCGCGCGTCAATGAGCTAGGAACCATCGCCCCGGCTCTCGGCATTTTCTACACGCTCGCGGTGTGCTTCGCCTCCGACCTAGTGCTTGGCCCGGCATGGGCGATCACGGTTGCCAGCGCATGGAACGCCATAGGCTTGGTCATCCTCACGATATGGGATGTCCCTGAACCTGCAAAGTGGTTTGCTTTCTCGACCATGTACGCCGCGGTTGCTATGTCGAGCGTGCTTCACGGATGGGTCAACACCCAATTGCGAGCCTCGCCCTCCGCCCGATCGTTCACCCTCGTTCTCATCAACATCATCTCGCAATCTACGACGATCTGGACGCCGCTCCTTGTCTTTCGCACCGTGGAAGCACCGCGTTTTCCCAAGGGTTTCGCATTCTGCCTTGCGTGCGCCGTTCTTCTCATCTTCACTACCCACGGGCTGAATGTCTACTTGAAGCGGAAAGAAGCGTAAGTCCTACCATAATTGGTTTGTCGTCACCAACTAACATGCTGCAGATCAAACGTTCATACCATCTCACCTGATGTAGGTGAAGAATCTCAAAGTGAAAGTGGCGGTTCGCCTTCAGACGTTGAAACTGGAGGCACACATGAGTTCGGCGCAAAGCAAGCCACAAGTTAATCTGAGATGCGTAATGTTCAAGTCACTCCTGTGCCTATGAGCGGTCAAGTTTCTTTAGTATCTGTGGATAAGTAGGTTGGGAATACGCGTCGACTAGAGCACTCCAGATTACAACTACGCCTAGCTCAGGGGCCCCTTAATTCAGCTAACCGTACTGCTCACACCTTGACACACATGTGGAGTATTGGCAGCAGAGGTACCGCCTTATAGCTGCTTAATATTCCTCTTCCCGCTCTAGAAATACAATACCCTCAGTTCATGATGAGCTGTCAGCCGCTACGACCGTCTAGTCGCATGTTGTAGTCAATATCAACCGGGTTGGTGTCTTCGGGTAAGGCCCGCTCGACACATAGTCTACATAGTACCTAGAGCTAATACAGCGCCACTCTAGCGTAGCATTCCCTCACCAGTAGAGCTCCATCAATACAACGCCAACATCTTCACATATACCACAACCACAACATACGGTGTAAGTAGGTTCACATAGGAAGGACCAAGCTACCGGTACCGGATGCGCCATTCATTACGTTTAGGCACAGCACAGGAGTGTTTCGAGCACGTGTAGGCGCTATGGGTCCTGCGCTGCAGCGGCACGATCTGAGGCGATTGACGCTAGATAACTTACCGAGCGACGCGATCACGCAAGGAGAACCCCGCCCGTGAAACTTGGGTCATCAAACCCAACAATCACATCATGGCCATGGACTGGGCGTGCCACTAATACGATCCCAAGCGGGTAGACACCATGTGATAAGCGCAGGTTGCGCCGACCAGTCAAATGCCGGCTTATTCTTCCTCTGGTCTGGCGATAAGAGGGTCGTGTTGAGGCCTCGGTCGGTCAATTTATAATCTGCATTGCTCCCATCACCTTAGCTGCAGTGCAGAGCAGAGCAGAGAACTGGGTCTTCAAAATGGCCGACGCATTGGCAGACATCGCGAGTAGGGTTAAGCCCAGCTCTGGAGAGGAAGCATCGACTGAGGGCTCAGGGCAGTCACCGGCAGCGACAAATGGGGTAGCTTCGCCCGCGGGTGCGGCGGATGCTACTATCCGTCCTTTGTTAAACCAGCCAACAGCTCCTATATACCCCGAAGCGAAATTTGAACTGGAAGATCGACACATCGATGAGCCGAGGTCCTTGAGGGTAGTCGTCATCGGAGCTGGTCTAACTGGTGTGACTGCCGGAGTCCTTCTCCCTGCGAAAGTCCCGGGAATCAAGCTCACGATATTTGAGAAGAACGCCGATGTGGTGAGTGATAACCTGTCCCCGTACCTCCGCCGAGGTCTGACGAATGACGCTAATGCTATGGTTATAGGGAGGTACATGGTTTGAGAACGTGTATCCGGGCGTCCGGTGTGATATCCCGGCTCATGTGTACCAGTCCAGCTTCTCGCCCAACACCAAGTGGTCGGAGCAATTTGCCCAGGGCGCCGAGATCAGGGACTACTGGCAGGGGATCTCGAAGAAGTACGACGTGTACAAGAACCTCAAGCTGTCCCACAAAGTCGAAGAGCTGAGATGGGATGAGGCCAAGGCTGTCTGGCGGGTCCGAGTGCGGAACCTCACCACCGACGAGGTCCTTGTCGAGGAAGCCGATTTCGTGCTTACCGCGATCGGCCGCTTCAACGCCTGGAAGCTCCCGGACTACCCTGGGCTGCACGACTTCCGCGGCCTTCTTCGCCATGCTTCGCATTACGATTCCTCGTTCGACCCCACTGGGAAGCGAATCGCAGTCATCGGAAACGGAGCCAGCGGTATCCAGCTGGTATCGAACCTCCAGAAGCGCGTCAGCCATCTCGACGTGTACGCTCGGAATAAGACGTGGATATCGGCATCCTTTGCCGGCGACGAAACGTCGATCGAGCCGATCCCGATCTCCAAGGAGCTCCAGGAATCCTTCGAGGATCCGGCCAAGTACCTGGAGTTCCGCAAGGAGATGGAGTCGAAGTACTGGAGGGGCATCGAGAGCCTCTTCAGGGGCTCCGAGCTCAACGAGCAAGCCCGGGAGAACTTCATCAGGATCACGAAAGAGCGGCTCGCCAAGAAGCCCGAGCTACTGGAGAAGATCATCCCGGACTTCTCGCCGAACTGCCGGAGACTTACGCCAGGCCCGGGCTACCTGGAAGCCATAACGGAAGACCATGTGGAGTACATCCAGACGCCGATCAAGCGGTTCACGGAGACAGGCATCGAGACCGAAGACGGCCGGCACCGGGAGGTCGACGCGATCTTCTGCGCCACGGGCGCCAATGTTGACCAGGTCCCGCCGTTCAGCATCTGGGCCGGCGGCAAGGACTTGGCCGCGCTCTGGCGCGCCGACGGAGAACAGGGCTTCCCGTACACGTACCTGGGGGTCGCGACGCCGGGGTTCCCCAACCTCGGGTTCGTCCTCGGCCCGCACGGCGGCGGGCGCGGCGGGACGGTGCCCCACAACGTGGAGGTGCAGCTGTCGTTCTTCGCCAAGCTGCTGCGCAAGGTGGGGCGCGAGGGCATCCGGACGGTCCAGCCGTCGAAGCGGGCCGCCGACGAGTTCGTCGACTACTCGGACGCGTACTTCGGCAAGACCGTGCTGTCGGACAACTGCAGCTCCTGGTACAACAGCGGCAAGGCCGGCAGCCGGATCCACGGGCTCTGGCCCGGCTCGGGCTCGCACCTGGCCATCGTCCTGAGAGAGCCCAGGTGGGAGGACTGGGAGTACGAGTACCTCTCCGGGACGGGCAACAGGTTCGCGTGGTATTTCGGAAAGGGGTACACGAAGAAGGAGCTGGATCCGGAGTCCGACATGACCCCGTATCTAAAGGAGCCGTCTAAGGTTGACTTGCGGGATATACATGAGAGCTGGTGGAATCTGCCTTGATGTATGGGGGGCGTAGAACTAGTACGTAGTGTGTTGTATAAAAAGGTCTCATGTCGGCTGTTATATATGGTGTTCGAGAAGATCGAGAAGCTGTCTGAAAGACGATCATCTTTGCAATATATTCTTCAAGTTACCAAAACGAGACTCTGAGTCATGTGCATAATATATCCTGTGGGCATATGTGATTAGCAATGTCCATAATGGTACCGTAAGTGACCCATTCTGGGAAGCCACCGAGTTGTCCTCACAAGTCTGACACAGATATCTATATCAGATCGCCTTCGCACTTGTAACGGATCATATCCATGCTACTAGGACCTCTTGCTCCGAAGCGATTCCAAATTATCCTATAGCTCACGTTGCACCTTCAAGTGGAAAAACATCTACTGAACCAAGCGCTGTGGAGAGCGTAGTATCACAAATATATACATAGGAGGTTTATATCTTTCAAAGAGTCATGCACTCCAGAAGTTTCCGTATCTTCCTTACAAAAGTAACGAGCTTACCCGTGAGAGCCATAGCTGGGAGTTTCTCTCCTCCATGTAACCATTGTCCCTATCCAGGGGCAGCCAGGTTAGTCGAAACAAAAACAAAAAAAGATAATCCTGCTCAGTGAGAGGCTTGAACTCTCGGCTTTCGCATTTATATTCACTTTACATGTCCCGGAGGAGATATTAGTACGACACTCTAACCAACTGAGTTAACCGAGCGACGATTCGATTGTTTGCAACCGATCGGTGTGGTGGATTGATGAAAATTTTGTCGTCTAGCTTAGTATAAGAGCCTAGCAACGGAACCTGGGCTGCCTGGGTTGTTGCTAAGTAGCTAGGCCCACAGCGCGGTTCCCCACCGTGTACTGCCCATAGTCCTCGAGATGATTATCAGATATTTAGAAAATGCGAATTCCGATGTGTGTTCTGCATATAGAGGACAAGGTGAAGATGTTGCCGCAAATGCAACCCATGCCGAGGGGTGAAGTGCAGGTGGTAAAGGTATAGGATTCAATTATGTAAGCAGATAGCTAGCGCGGGGGTGAACTTGTAACTGGAGATAACTGGAGAACACTGCGTATAGGTACTTAAGTATCCGACGAATGGCCATTTGGCTGCAGTACAACAATTTTGTAGTGATCTCATAGGCTCACGCACTAATGTGGGTAGCTGAATACCACTGAAGGGCCCCGAAGACCGCTAGAAATTAGAGGGGTCTTATGGTTTCTTACTTTCTGATTGGTTCAAACTCACCAATCAAAAAATTGTTAGAGTGCAGCCAATTGGCCGCCAATCAGATAAGGCACTTTACACGCACTCAATTGGCAGAATTCGAACATAGTATGAGTCACTAGATAATCCCGCAAGAAGCCTCTCATGTCCCTGTTGAGTTGTAGACGGATATTAGCAAGTGCAAATGCATTCTCGGCCAAACCTCCTGCCCCACTAACCCCGGGACCCCCTTTTATCCTTGCCAAGAGTGAGCTACCTAGGTGATCCGGGTCCGAACCCCGGAACATGGAACGGTCTGCCTCGGGCTCTAAGTTGTCCTATTGTCCTATAACCTTTCTGCTTAGCAATTCGAAATACCGCAGTCATGATTGGTTCCAAAGGCATTTCTTAGATTTCTTAGACATTATAATAGCAATGGATTGAGCGGTAGATAAGTGTACAAAGACCATATTGACTTTCTTAACATTGGACTCTTGTACCTGTTTACAGCCAGACATACGTATCAACAAGTATAGTAGTCAAGCTATGGGACAATAGCAGGGTTGCTGACCCCATCAAACGCCAACGCATGTGATTTCGCGTCGATAAGTCGGATGACTCAGACGGATAGGAGAATGCATTGCGCTGCAATGTCAGCCTACATAATACGGCAAATAACACAAGTGCCCCTCTATACTATGTAAGAGTTGATGCAAGCGGAGCACTTTAGGATTCTACTTTTCCTACCAAGTCGTCGCGTGCAGATGAATTACCACTATTATTAGCGCGCCTGTTTTAGGAGTAGGACTTGACCGACTCCGATTTGCTTCAGCCTTCGGAGACAGAGTCACCATCGTAACAGTCATTTATGAGTCTACCTACATTATATAGTTTGTATTGAGATATTCGATATTCCGAGATAGGATCCCCTTTCTCTCGCGGATCAATCGCATTTATTTCTACCCCTCCTCCGGCCGTAAGCTGTTGGTCTCAGGCTCTCATCCTAGGCAGAGCCTTATTAATCACCAATCATGGATGCTCGATGCCAATGCGGGGCAGTCCGGTTCACGACTCCCCTCGAGAAACCGCTGGCTATTTATATCTGTCATTGTACAGAATGTCGCAGACAGACGAGCTCGGCGTTCGGCACATCTGCTATATTCCCACGATTCACCCTCCCTGATACGGAGTTGCTGTCTTGCTATACGTGCGTCATACCCATGCCCCCCTCCCCTTCCCCCTCCCCCCTGCCGGGCTGGGAAGACTTGCTAACAGTTCGTTACGGGGCAGTCGGCCCACCGCTTCAGGACATAACTTGTATTGGTAAGTGCGGAACTCAAGGGTCGTTAATGAGTCAAGCCAGTCCGTTTAGACCGACATTTTGTGCAGTTACTTTTGTCGACAATGCGGCACGAGACTCTTGCATACAACTCCGGTAAGCGAGGCGCAAGCAAATACCTACCCACCAGTAGATGAGCTGACGAGGAGCACTAGGGTAAAAACGTCGTCTCGGTGAAGGGCGGTTGCCTCGACGGGCTGGATTGGGGGAAGGCCATCCACATCTGGACCAAGTCGGCCATGCTGCCGATCCCCGAGGGGTCGGAATCGCATTCGGAAGAGCCGTCGGACAACAGCTATCTGGGTACCTCCCAGGAAGAGCTGGACCAGCCTCTTGACGCCCCCGGGTTGCTCGTCGGGAGCGGCGGCTGCGAGGAGCATGACACGCCTAGCAAGGCACATTTCGAGGAAACGAACGTCCGGCACATCCACGGTGCCTGCGAACTCAGCGGTTAGGGAGCCCCAGGTGTGGGATATTCGAGCGGTTTTATAGAGTCGAAGTTCGTTGGGCGTGGTGCACAGGGGTTCTCGAGGTTTGGATTCATGATATAATGATATAATTGTTCTTTGGATGCGAACTCAACTACGCATGTATCACGATCATCTCCCCTGGACCCTCTCACAGTTACAGTGGTCCGGTCGAGAATGAGAGGATGTTGCCTCGCAGCTTCATTTATGGAAAATGGGCAGACACGTGCTTCGTCTAATAGTTTGGTTGAAACTTTACTTCGTATCTCTATGATTCCATGTCGACCTCGCAGCATCGTCTTTGACTTTTGCCTATATACTTGAACATAACATGTACACGGGAGTAGCCTAGGGGAGATAACGTGTGACGTAGCCCTTCTTCTTTTCTCGATGAGCCGAAGAACCGCCTAACTCAATGTGCGTGAAGGCCATCTTCATCTTCAGAATCAACCAAGTCGCCATAGAGTACCTCGCAAACGCCGGCAAGGGGGACGTCCATAACGGCATCGGTGCCTTCGTTCCAGATATTCTTCCAATCTAGTTGCTTCGCTTTCTCCTCGGTGATGGGCTTCCTGTCCCCAAACCGGATCTTGCCCTGGCTATCGATGGTAGCAACCTTGGCCGCCTCGTCCACAATGGTCTCTATCGAAGACAGAGGCAGGGTGAGGATCTCGGTGTTGTATGCGGCCAACGCGACATAGATGTAGACGATAAGCATGACCAGAAACGATGGGATAGCCAGCGACCACCACCGGTTCGGGTAGTAGTAGATTCCCAGCGCATGAAGAAATGGCGACGGCAGGTATGACCAGAGGAGATAGATGAGGAAGGTCAGGGATGAGAACAGGTACAAGACGAAACCGTAGTACTCGTACGTGGGCACCTTGGGAGACGCACGCGGAACAGGTCCTAGTTCGTCATCGGATGCCTCTGGTGTCGTAGGTCGCGAGGGCCGTAGCAGAGATGTGAGAGATGGAGAGGGCGGCAAAGGTGTTGGTGGCCGGCCATAAAATGGCGGAGCAAAATAATTCTGATGTGGCGGAGGTAGGGGCAACGAGTCGTCCTCGCTTGAGGATGAAGCATTGGATTGGTTATCGGAGAGGAAGTCCTCGTCATCGTCATCTGATATCAAGGACATGATGGCATAGTTCTCATGAGTCAAAGGCTCCGTTGCTGCAGCTTATAATCTTATAGTGTTATAGTACGTCTGCCATTATGTGTTCGCGTCACGGCTCAGACGTGGATGATAACATGACCTCTTTATGATGAACCCCTTATGCTGACTGACCTTTTGAAGCAGGAACTGTGACAGCTCCGAGGTAAGGGCAATTGAGGTAAGGGATGGTTGGACCTAAAATCAAGCTTAGTGATGTTAGTGCACGGGCCAAGGTGGCAGGCAAGTAGTACATACATGTATGTGTACAATACTGGTATGTAGTCTATTTCAGGTCTATTTAGTCGCAGCCGTGGGCTGTATGTAGCTTGATAGCTAGACTAGGTACCTGGCAGCCTGGGTAGCTACATACTAACTACTTAGGTACATACATACATACCTAGCTACCTAGGTATCAGCTGTAGCTAAAGACAATAACTAGCACCAAGATTGGCGGAAGGCTGGTAGCTTCACCTTCCAACGCGATCACCTAAAAATCAAGGGACAGGCCCCGATTGAGTTGCGCCGAGTTGCAAATCTCAACAATTCACCACCACTCCCTCCTCCCATTTGGCCATTGCATCTCACATACCATGGCTTCTCAACCCCTCTCAAACAATCAGGCGCCGATGGATGTCTACGGCGGAGGTGAGTTTCCAGCAGTCCGCATCCATTGATGCACATAAACTGCTGCGCGTGTTGGGGCATTGGCATCGACTAACCTACCTTTCCACCCTCTGCTAGACGAGGTGTCGGCCCTCGTCCTCGACGCCGGATACTGCCACACGCGCGCGGGCTTCGCTGGCGAGGATGTTCCCAAGTCCGTCCTGCCCTCCTTCTACGGGAACATAAAATCAGCGAACACCGATTCCACGACGACCTCTTACCGCCGCCTCTTCGGCGACGACTGCCTGGTCCCCCGCGCCGACGGCGAGATCAAGAATTACATGTCGCGCAGCGATGGCATCGTGGAGGACTGGGACGCCGCCATCGAGATGTGGGAGCATATGCTGATCAAACGCCTGCAACCCGAGAAACAGACCGACCCGAGCCGGAACGGCCTGAACGACGATCCCGTAGCCGATGGCGAGGGCGACGTGGCCATGGACGATGGCGCCGCCGCCACCATCGAGGACGCCGAGAAGCCGCTCGCCGAGAACCCCCTCCTCATGACCGAGCCGCCCTGGAACCCCACCAAAGCGCGGGAGAAGTCCATCGAGCTCGCCATGGAGAGCTGGGGCTGCCCGGCCTTCTGGCTGTCGCGGACACCGGTCTGCGCCGCCTTTGCGGCCGGCAAGGCGACCGCGCTCGTGGTCGACGTCGGCGGCGCCGGGACCAGCGTCACCGCCGTGCACGATGGCATGATCCTCAAGAGGTCGGTGCAGCGGTCGGCGATCGGCGGCCTCTGGCTGTCGTCGCAGATCCGCCACATGTGGGACGGGGCCGACCCGAAGGTCGACGTCGTGCCCACCTTCCTGGTCGAGAGCAAGAACCCCGTCGACGCGGGCGCCCCGGCCCAGGCGAAGCTGCGCAAGTTCCCATGGGAGAT